CCTACACTGTTATCAAAAAATCATTCAAAAGCTTAATCCAAGACCAGTTGGGATACATAGCAACACCCTGTCTCATGCTCTGTCTTTGATTACATTAGTTCCCTGGCTAGAGTGATTTATCCATTTACAAATAACAGTCTCATATAGGCATTTCCAGTCGTGCTAAACCAGAGTCCAAGGCGCAATCCTGAGACACAATTCTCAGTAAACCCAGTTCCTACCTCCAGACACCTGATGGACAATTTGAGTAGAGACTGGCTCCAGTACATTGGTCACCAACCTATAGATGAGTTACACCACCAGTGACATCACAAGCTCTGTGTCCATCCAGCCACACAATTTCATTTTAGTCAAAGGGATTTCAAAAGGGGCACCATGTTTGACTAGCTGGGTAAAGGACGTTGCTACGGTTTACATCTCGCTGCCCCTCCCCCAAGCCTCATGCACTTACAGATGGGGCTTTGGGATGTGAGTGGGTCACCGGGGTATGATGATCATCAGTGGATGGGTTCACAGCTAAACGTGATGTTAGGAGGTGAAGCCTGGTAGGAGCAGATAAGTGACTGGGGACATGGCCTGAAAGAGTCTGTCTCTGTCTCTGTCTCTGTCTCTCTCTGCTTCCAGCTGTGCCATACCATGAACTGTGTCTCTTTTGCAGAGCTCCTCTGCTATGCTGCCTAGCCTTGGAGCCAGTTGACTATAGACCAAAACCTCTACAAACTGTAAGCCAAAACACACCCCTGCTTTATGTTGTGGCCATCACGTAATGTCTCAGTGATGAGAAACTGATTAAGACAAACCAGTACTATGAAAGGGCAGAAGAAGGGCAGCCCAGTCGCAGCTCCATTGTTTATGTGTGATACCAAGAAAAACAATGCAAAGGTGAACAGCAACAACAATGAAAAAATTGGTTTACTTATAAACCAAGTTCAAATAAAATCTGAACAGCTCCCAATAATATCTGTTGTGGGCTGAAATTTATTCCTCAGAAAAACATGTTCAAGCCTTAGCTCCCAATACCTGTGACTGTGAAATCTGGATATAGAGTATTTGCAGATGTTCTTGGGTTAGGATGATGTCATACTGGATTAGGGTAGGTGTGAACCCAATAACTGAAGAGTTTATAAGAACAGGCTACGTGATGATGGAAATAAAGATTAGGTTGATGCTGCCACCCGCAAAGGAAGGCCAAAGGTTGTGAGCAGTGCAGACCTGGGGAAGGTGAGGAAGGATTCTGCCTTCAGCCTTCAGAGCGAACACATCTCTGCCTGTGCCCAGCCCTAATCCGGTGCTTTTGGTCTCCAAAACCACAAGATGGTAAATTACTATGGGGTTTTCTGGTATTTAAAATTTTTATTTATAATTAATATATAATGTGCATGTTTTAGGGTACAGTGTAAGTTTTCAGTGCAAGTACACAAGGTACAATGAACAAATCAAGGTAAATGGCACATTCCTCACTTCAAACATTTATCCTTTCTTTGCAGGGAAAGCTTTTGAGATTCCTTTTTGTAGTAATTTCTCTTGTTTTAAGCCACCCAGTTTGTGGTGCTTTGTTATAGCAGCCCAGAACACTTACTACAACAGCAAAAATGTAATATCAGAATCAAGGATGCTTAGGAATTGGTTAAAAGCAAGCAAGATCTTAGAAAAGTCAAAAGAAGATGACAGACGTGTGGACTTCAGCAGGGACCAGGGCTGACAGGGGAGAGATGAGGTGAGCACGTGAACTCTGGCTCTGAGAGTAAGGGGGTGGACAAAGGTGACATCCAGTGTCACACTCATCACCAAGAAGTTAATTGTCCCTTCCAGGTGTCAAATGGACACTTCTCAAGAAAATCCATAAGGCTCAAATTTGTCAGTTTGTCACCAATATCGCCAATGTCACCGCTATGCTGAGTTTCCTGTCTCCAGTTTGGCATTTTTCTTGACAATGTTTCATCATTCTAAATTAGGTAGCAGTCACGCAAGTGAAGGCTCTGTCGGCCTCTCTGTCCATCTCTATTTATAGTGCTCTATCCACCATTTCGAAGGTGCTAAGATCTACTGATTGATGGCAGTGTCACTAAAATGGTCACATTCTGAACTCAAGCAAGGAAGTCATTTTATTCCTCCTGTGAAAACTCAGAGGAGGAAAGAGGAGGCTTTGCTGTTTCTAATACTACTCTGGCTCCCATGTGGCCTAGTGAAATATGCATCTGTTATGGCAAAACTCCTCACTGGAAAGACCCTAAGTGACATGCTAGTAGCTTTCCAAAAAGTAATTAGGGAAATATATTGTTGCTAATCCTGAACACACTAGGAGCCAGGCTAATTTTAAAAGGGAAAATAAAAATGCTGCCTTGTGGCTAATGGCAAACTTCTCAATGCCATTAAACTAAGCTCAGTCCTATGTAGGACTAAAGTACTAATACTGAAGAGTTCTGTACTCCCCCTGCCCCGCACTGTTAAGGAAGATACTGTGGAATAGGCCAAAGGAAGCATCGATGTGCAAATACCATTTAACAAGTACAGAGAGCTGGGCTAAATCATGCTCAGAGCACTTTAAAAAAGATTCAAATTTTAATACATTAGCACTAGAACATGCTGTACAAGGAACAGGAAAATTGCAGTTGTCAACGTGTGAATTTAGTCTCAGGGTAAATTCATACAAGGAAGTAAAACTTCACTTTAGATTTTTTTCCCAACCAACTCTCCCTATCCTCGAAATCCACATTTTCCTTGTAAACTAGGGGAACACATGTTACAGCAAAGGCTCGGTGTGCATATTTCACTCTAAGAAGTAGGGAAGAGGAAGTATGTGAGTACTCGGCAGCTTCTCTAAAGTGGTCTTTCCAGGGGTCAAAACACAAAAGGTAGGCGAGATGTTCTGGTATGCAAGCATGTGTTTGTGTACCCAAATGTGTTTGCATAAACATACATATAAGCACGTATCTCTTCAGGTGGGAAAGCATTCCAGGATGAATCTATCACGGATTTTCTGTTTTTTTCCTGTTGGAATTCTCAGACAATCTGCTTGCTCATCACTGCAGGTGAGGAGAAGTGGTCTGCAGCCTCCTGGGCTGAGTACACATCATCAGAGGGGAGAGCCCAGTGGCTTGAGCTCCTAAGCCAGGCCGGGGTGGGTAAGTGGCCCCAAGTCTATCAAGAGGCTGGAGAGAAACCCCACAGGGCAGGGAAAGCCATGGGCAACTCCGCTAATTTGAAACTAAGCCCTATTCCAGTTGGGGTTTGATAGACTATTTTCTATATCAAAGCAACAAACAGACTTTCATTTCAGAACACATCTTGTCTCTCAGACCATTCTATCAGAAGCAGTTATTTTCTTTAAATTGCAAGTCAAGGCAGTTTATTTTTCTCAAAACTGTGCTGTCAGTTCATTTGCCTCAATGGAAATGTCCACTTGATCTACACAAGGTATCTAACCCTTAAACAGAGGTGAGATAGAGGTGTCCCTGAGGACACCTTCCAAGTGATGTATCTACATAAATGTTTGCCCCAGATGAAATGCCGATCAGTTATTTAGAAATATGGCCTACAGGAAAGGTCAAGCTACTCCTCCAGTTAGAGTCCCTGAACCAAAATAAATCTCTTCAATGACATATACTCTCATTGTGAAATGATCTGATCTCTCCTTACATTCCCAATGTTATTTCAAAATATGAAATAATTATATTTATACAAATACAGCTGATAATATATATAGCTGTATGCGATTTAATGATGGGAATGTATTGTGAGAAATGCATTATTAGATTATTTAATTGCTGTGAGAACATCCTAGGGTGCACTTAAATAAGCCAGACTGCCTCTAATGTCACCAGACTGTACAATCTTTTGTTTCTATTATTACATTTGCTGTACACAATGATTGCATTCATTGTGAGAATTTGCTAAATGTAAATTACACATCTTAAATTTTCAACATCTCATTGCCCTTTCTCCTTTCTCTCCATCTCTAGTTCTCCTGCTCATTTGCAAAGGATCTACCTCCCTAGCTCATAATATCTATCATGTATTTTGCTACTTAAATTACTTATACTTTGGGTTTCTCTCACCAGTGTCAGTGACAGAAATATCATTATGCAGCCCATGACTACCTATGCATCTGTATCTATATTATATGCAAGTACATATCTAGAGTCTTAGGTTGAGATCACTACATTATATCACTGATCCCATTATGTAAATGCTTAGATAGTACACATCCACATTTTTCTGCATTCATCTAAGCAGAAATTATCATTTCAATATATTTGTCCTGGACAGAATTTGAATTGTCAGTAAAAATGTAATATTGTTCTAGTTAAATTAGAAACGGTACTATAAACGGTCTTGTTGGTACAATAATTATATCTGTGTTACTATTAAGATTCTGAGAGCATCGACAGTAAAATCATTCTCAAAGTCAAAACCTTTAATATTTACTTCTGTCATTTATCTTTTGTCTACCAATTGCTTCCTCTTTATCAAGTACAGAGGGTCACATTTAATTTATTAATAGAATGAATCTACTATCCTCTTTTTTGATACCTCATAGATGCTAATGACATACAAATTTAAAAATAGTTAAAGAAAAACAAATACCAAAGCATTTTCCCAGCTAGAAATTAGAGGAGGTCACAGGTAAGCTGAGCCTAGGAACATGCTTAATAATTACATGATTATAAATCCCTTAACTATAAATTTTGATAAAAATATGATTAAAAACGTGGAAACCCACACTATGAATTTTATAGAACATCAATTTTAATTGGTCAATGGTTATAAATTAGCCATTAGCAATTTATTGTTCTAAATGACTTATCCTTTCCAATTATCATTTCATCTGTTTTCTATATTTAAAGAAATCAAAGAAATTCAAGATACGGGAAAGACATGCTGTTTGAGGATCTGAAACTGATTTGGTAGCTTTGGAGTTGACATAATCTTGGCCTGGTGCAGCTTATTTTGGAAAGCTGCCTCAAATTTCCCCTGGTTTTGAACTTTTTTTTCCTTACCACTTTCATCTAGCAAGAAATCATCCTGGTAACGGAACTTCTCCGGTCCACATGCAATAAAAATGTCATCGTCACCAAAAAAGTCCTGAAGGCACATCACCTACAAGAGAAAAGCATGGTACTCAGCGAGGGGCCAGCAGAACAGCAATTACAACAATGCATCCCAGCAAGTAGACATCTGCATAAAGCCACTTCCCTTAATGGAATCAACGGGCAGCTTCTCCAGGAATTTCAAAGGAAGGGCTCAAGCATCTGGTCCTAGTAAGAAACATGTTATGTCTCAGTTCTGCAGGAAGACGGGATAAGGCAAATAGAACCGGTAACTGTCACATTTATTACTTGATATATCAATAGGCTATGAGGTAAGAGCCCTTTGTTTCCATAATAAAGTAGATGCAGCAACATGTGGGGAAAGAGGACCCCTGCACTCTTCTGAATGTAAAACTCCATGCTAGCAACAAAAGTCAGCATAGAGTTTTATGTCTTTTCGTAACTGATGCCATTGTATACACATAGGATAATCACGGAAAAAAGTATTTGTATCATAAATATGAGCACAACTATCTCCTTTAGGCCCATTCTACATGTAGCTGAAAGAAAAAAAATTAAGTAAAAATTAATTGAGGTAATAGTTTTGTCTTGAAGTACTTTACTGAATTAATTGTTTTGTTTTAATTGGTTCTATTCTGTTCTGTTTTGTTTGATTTTTACTATGTCGGAAGGTATCTGCAGGTGTTTTGAAGAAAACCAGAGGCATTATGGTAAGTAACCCTTGTTGATTTCGTATTGTTTTGAAGTCCTGGGTCATCTACACTGGTTTGTTTTGATTGGCTTTGTTTTGCTTTATTTTGGTTTTATTCTCTTTAAAATAAAATAAAATAAATCAATTAATTAAGTGAGGTTTCAATGCAGAGCCTAAAGTACCTGTATAACCACTTCCTAAGAGATGCTAAACACTAAAATTTCCCTGCCCTCCAGATTCTTCTTTTCATGAAGTTTCAATGCAACCTTTTGATAGTTTTCTACTTATTCTCCAATAAGAACTTTAAGAAAAGAAAATATACCAAATGTACCATTTCCCTGCAAGAAAATATAGTCAAAATGAATAATTTTTGAGCATTTCCAATGTCTTTGAGAAAACTGTAATGTTTTGTTCATACTAGGTATGACACCAACAATGGGAATACTGATAATTTCTATCTATTTTCAATTTCCTTTAACTTTTTAGGCAAATCATAAGATGGCGAGTGAAAACACCCAGTTCTCTGGGTGCTTTGGAACGCAGTTTCCCACAGCTTTGGAGTACCAGCAACTACCCTTCTGAGGGTCAGTCTCTTTACGTGTGTTCTTCATTCGCATCTCTCACATTTGTCTGCAGCTCCATCTAAGGACACCTCTGGAATCCTTTATCTTTGCCAACCTCTGCCACCCCACCCTGTGAACACCATCCCGCCACACCACATGTGAAGTAAGTTGATACTTACTACTGTAAGTCAGAAGAACATAACATTATCTGAAGTTCTCATATGCAGTGGTGTGTGGGCTTCAGATTGTGTTTCCAAACTTAACTTTCAAACATAACTTAATTTTCAAACAACCACTTGGCTAAGGTTTTAAAAAGGAAATTTCTGAAACAGTTTGATATCGACATTAAATATGAATAGAGGCACCTATGGCTGTCACTCATTCGATCAGTGAAATCTTGAAGGCACAAGTGATTTAAGGGGAGTACTGACGGACACAGCCCCAAGAGCTTTAAGTGTGGTGTTAGAAGACATGATGTTCTACCTGGCTTAACTACAGGCTCTTTGGATTTAGAGCCTGCTCTCCATGTCATTCCTCTTCCTCCTCCAATTTTGCCTCACTCATCTTTACCTTCATGACAGCCCATCTTTCTCCATCAGCATTAGTGTCATCCCAACTAAACCCAGACAGGCCATCCTCACCTTACACGTGTAAGTCTTCACCAACTGCCTCCTAGATTCCATTCAGCACACAGCACTGACATACAAAAATGCGGGAGATGTGATCACTCCCTCAGGCAAAAATGGCAACGATAAGCCCAAAAGAACAGTGTTTCCTAAAAGCATGGATAGCTGATAAGCTGGTGTAAAAGTGTGCGTGTGTGAGGGGGTGTCCTACTACAACATAAAATGCCATTTTTATCCAACAGGTCCTTTTGTTTCTGAACTTTGAAAAATTTATAACCGTTCATGTATTCTATAGCTCTAAAGAGACAGGAAAATCCAGAACTATTTTTTCTCACACTGCACAATGCAGGATCACGTTCAGAGAGTTCCCTTTAGAGGAAAGAACGCAGGGACACAGAAAGGAAAAACAGTTGCCCGTACTCTTCCCAGGTAAACATGCTTACTTCTCCAGGGATCAAACTTTATTTGCTGATTCATTTAGTCAATCTTTTATGTTGCGCCTGTTTTATATCAAACATCATGCTGACAAACACTTGATAGATGGAAATTCTGTTTTTTAAGGAAATGGTCTTTTTGTCCTGCACATTCCCCCATTTACATTTATATCATCAGGTTTTAACCAGACCACATTTATCTATAATGTGTATGTGTTATATAACTGCTCAGTGGGTAACTAGTCATCATCAGAACTATGACATGTCACAAGCAGGTTGCCAGTCAACTCAATCCCACCATTTTATTGATAACCATCTATTGAGCCTGAGACCTAAACAACAGAAAACACAATGACCCATCTTGGATAGTTTAGGCAAAATTCTGTTGGCCACGGGGAATGAAACATGATGAACTTCCGATGTTCTTTCCAAAGAGAAGACTCCAAGAACATGAGAAGGACACAGTGATAGTTAAGGGGGCAATGCTAAGCACAGAAAGGCAGACAAAAGTGATCTGGTGCTGAGCAAAGCATACTCATTTACCTCTAAGCTTCTCTGACAAAAAGCCAATAATCTATTAAAGTATCAGAAACTCTGGTGTTTTCTGTGTCTTGTGCTTTGCATTATTTTGCGTTTTTCCCCTTGTAACTTCCCATTATTAAAGGTCAGTAGATCAAATCCAAACATAAAACTGTTCATTAATAAACAAGGCTTTCGTAAAAGAGAGCAAGGGTCATTAGACACAAAGTTAAAATACGGACAAATTTAGGATAATCAGTACACTCCAACTATCAACGCTCTTATCATTGATCTAGAGGTGACTGTAACATATTTCATTTAACAGCAAAGAATAACAGAAGACTTTTAATCTTTTTAAATAGTCTATGAAAATTTTCCTTGAAGCATTACTGTGTGTCCTGGTACCAAGTTATTATAAAAAGTAGAGAAATGTTAAACCCGTGTTTTTTTTTTTTTTTTTTTTTTTGCAAACTAAGTTGATTCTATCTATATAATGTTACACCTTCGAAAATTTGATGTGCCAAAAATTCAGCATGGTTACCAGTTTATAGAATAAGTTCCATTTCTGGATGAGAAACACACTTCTCACTACAGCAGACGGTGACGGTGACCTCCTCTGCTGTGAAGTCTGCTCAGTCGGTATCAGATGCGGGAAGCATGCATCAGGGTTAGATTCAGGGCAGATGCAAAGGTAGAGATGTCAGTTTTGAGAAAAGAGAAAAGAAGAGCACTTTCCAGACTTTCTCACTTCGCCATCATCCTCTTGCCTCCCAAGAAGACCTGGTATCACCCATGGCGGCTTGTCCTGGTTGTCCCACTGTGTCACAAGTTGTCCCCTGCAATATCGCCGAAACCTTTCCCAGCCCTCTCCCAGCCCTCCTCCCTCCTCCCCCAGTCACCACATCAGCTTTGAGCTCATCCTTCTCCCTGTGGACCTTGCTATTCCCCTTTTATGCGTTTTCTCACTTCACCTCCATTCTCTCCAACCCAATCTGTTAGTCTGTTCATCTTTCATGAACTTTCAAAATTCAGCTCTGAGGCTCTGACAGCCACACATGGCTTCCGGTACTCAAGTTAAAGCTCCATTGCTGAGCTGAGCATTGCAGACACCTTGCAATCTGTGTACCAACTTTTTATGCTTCCAGTAGTCTTAGTGGTGATATAGCATCTGACACACGTAAGTATTTGTCGGATGGAAGGAATGGATGGGTGAATGGACCATTCTAATGCGAAACATGTTCTATCTGTTTCATTCTCTGAAAGGAGCTTAATCTGTCCTATTTTTGTATGAAAATCTCTTTCCTGTTTTCTAATGTGTTCCCACCTTTGCTCTTTGCCTGTTTAAATCCATCTGGTGGTGTAAGGCACAGCTGAAGGTTCAAGGCCTAGCTTCTTTCCCACTCCAATCCTGTAAGACTCGTGAACTGGTCTGAAGCCTCAGCATCCTTCAGTAAGCGTTTGCTGAGCACCTGTTACATGCCAGCCCCTGAGCTGGGCGTTCAGAGCACAGCCTGCCTTCCCTTAGTACCAAGCCTTTGTCTCTTCTCCAGTACATAAATCTCCCTTCTCAGAAGCTCAAGAACTCCCCAGGACTGTTATCAACCGGTAAGTAGCTCAGTGATGAGTCACCTGAGTCCCCTTCTACTGGTTCTGTCAAAAGCTATGGTCTGAATTCTGGCCCTCAGTCTGCCACCTTCGCCGATGTGGGTAACTCAGGAAACCCTAGCCAGGTACCTTAAAATGAGTTCCTGCTCCTAAAACCCTCCCTCCATCTAGGGCCGAGGCAGTGTCTCCTGTTGGGTGCTGTTCTTTGGCATTAAAGAAGAAACGCAGAGCCTGGATCCTGAGTGAATTTAGCTCTGGAACTTAAGTGCATCATCTCAATTGTTTTAAGGAAGGATGGCTTAAGGCCACAAATAGAAAGACAGCAAGTTCACAATCAATTTTAGCTATTTTATTAAATGTACTTTAAGGTAAGTATAAATCAAAGGGATACTTAACAGAAAGTGATTTAAAAAATTAAAAACACAGTATGTAGGTCCAGAACAACATCCTAATAGACTTATTCTCTAAGAAGACTTGGACAAAATGAAGCAAATGAGTGCCCCTTACTTCTTTGGGGATTACAGTTCTACTAGTATTATTCTCCCAGTGAAAATCATACTTTGGATTAGTATCAGGGCCCTGCTGCAAAGCTGGTAAAAGTTGCTAACACA